GAACGATGAGGTTGGAGGCTGTGGGTGGAAGGTCACCTGAGGTGATGAGGTTGTGGATGGTTTGGGAGATGATGGTTTGGTGGTCGGGGGTGGGTCATAATCAAGGGGACGGTAGAAGGAGGTGTCGGAGAGTTGGTGCCTGCACCATACTACAACTGCGCCTCCCTTGTCCGCGGGTTTTATGGTGAGGTTGGGATTGGAGCGGAGGGCTGCGAGCTTGGGGACCTCTTTGCAGAACACCTACGCTTGGTTCGCACTAAACAACTGCACCTCCCAGTCGCGCCACTTCCTATAGACAAAGGGGGTGGCCATGGGTACCCGCATGGGCCCAAGCTATGCCTGCCTCTTCGTAGGTTACGTGGAACAATCCCTCTTCCGTACCTACACTGGCCCTAAACCCCACCTCTTCCTCTGTTACATTGATGACTGTAATGGCGCTGCCTCGTGCTCCCACGAGGAGCTCGAACAGTTCATCCACTTCACCAACACCTTCCATCCCAACCTTAAGTTGACCTCGACCATCTCCAATACCTCTCGCTCCTTCCTGGACCTCTCTGTCTCCATCTCTGGCAACCACCTCGAAACCGATATCCATCTCAAGCCCACCGACTCCAACAGCTACCTAGAATACACCTCCTCCCACCCATCTTCCTGCAAAAATGCCATCCACCATTCCCAATTCCTTTGCCTCCGCTGCATCTGCTCCCAGGATGAGGCATTCCACTCCCGTACATCTCAGATATCCTCATTTTTCAAGGTCTGCAACTTCCCCCCCTCAGTGGTCGAGAACGCCCTCCACCGTGTCTCCCGCAACTCATCCCTCACACCCCCTCCCCGCAATAACAACCAAAACAGAATCCCCCTCGTCCTTATGTACCACCCCACCAAACTCCGGATCCAACACATCACCCTCCGACACTTCTGCCATCTGCAATCCGACCCCACCACCAAAGACGTTTTTCCCTCCCCACCCTTATCTGCTTTCCGGAGGGACCACTCTCTCCGGGACTCCCTTGTCCACTCCACACTCCCCTCCAGCCCCACCACACCCGGCACTTTTCCCTGCAACTGCAGGAAGTACTACACCTGCCCCTACACCTCCCCCCTCAGCCCCATCCCAGGCCCCAAGAAGACTTTCCACATCAAGCAGATGTTCACCTGCACATCTGCTAACGTGGTATACTGCATCCGCTGTACACGTTGTGGCCTCCTCTACATCGGGGAAACCAAGCGGAGGCTTGGGGACCGCTTTGCAGAACACCTACGCTCGGTTCGCAATAAACAACTGCACCTCCCAGTCGCGAACCATTTCAACGCCCCCTCCCATTCCTCAGACAACATGCCCATCCTGGGCCTCCTGCAGTGCCACAACGATGCTACCTGAAGGTTGCAGGAACAGCAATTCATATTCCGTTTGGGAACCCTGCAGCCCAGTGGTATCAATGTGGACTTCACAATCTTCAAAATCTCCCTTCCCCCTACCGCATCCCAAAACCTGCCCAGCTCGTCCCCGCCTCCTTAACCTGTCCTTCCTCCCACCTGTCCCCTCCTCCCACCTCAAGCCCCACCCCCATCTCCTACCTACTAACCTCATCCCGCCCCCTTGACCTGTCTGTCCTGCCTGGACGGACCCATCTCCTCCCTACCACCCCACCTACACTCACCTCTACGGGTTCCATCCCCGCCTCTTTGATCTGTCTGTCTCCTCTCCACCTATCTTCTCCTCTATCCATCTTCTATCCGCCTCCCCCTCTCTCCCTATTTATTTCAGAACCCCCTTCCCCTCCCCCATTTCTGAAGAAGGGTCTCGGCCTAAAACGTCAGCCTTCCTGCTCCTCTGATGCTGCTTGGCCTGCTGTGTTCATCCAGCTCTACACCTTGTTATCTCGGATTCTCCAGCATCTGCAGTTCCTGCTATCTCTAATGCACAATACCTGTTCAATTTAGTTGCCATCTCCATATTTTCCTTATTGATTCCCCAGATGTACTGTTTATAGAATCAACATTTACTGTAACTATCTGCTTTTTAAAATATCTACATAAACTCTCTTTATTGTTTTATATTCAATGGGAAAATCAATGCAGAAAGCAACAGTTGGAACAACTAGTTCACTGTCATGAGAAGCCACAACTACAGATGAGACAGGCACAGCACCCCAATCAATCAGAAGCACAAAATAGACATTGTTCAAATAAGATGCATGAAATGTCTAGCCAAGCTACACGGTCAGATAATGAACATAGTCAAAATATGTACTCAGCATGGTAAATATCAAGGAATGTATTGCACAGCCGTACCAACAGAAGCTTTTGCCATTATGCAGGTTATATTCTCTTGCCTTCACATTCTTACTATCTTAGTCTACATTAAAATATTTAAAATCTCCTGTTATAACTATAAATAGCTGACGTACCTCTGGTTTCCTTGCAAATTTTTTGCTTTATACCTGTTCTCACTATTTGATAGCCTACTAAATATTCTTAGTCATGTAACATTACCTTTATTATTTCCTAGTTCTAACCAAATGTGTTCTATCCTTGATCCTTCTAGGACCCCATTGGCAATTGGCATAGTCCTTCTGACAAAATGACAAACAACTCAGCACTAATTTAGTCATTGGAATTGGTTATGACAAGGACATACACAGCTTTACGAAATGCACTGCCTAATATTTGATGACTTGTGCCAAAGCTGGGAGAGCTATCACACAGGCTTCTCAAGTAACTGCCTGATATAGCCATACTCACAGAATTATATCTTTCAACCAACAAACCAGGCAATACCACCAACATTCTTGTCCTATTTTCCACTGGCAGGACACAGTGACCATTCATGGTGGCAATATAGTGGTACAACATTTGGAGGCAGGTGGCTGTAGGCACCTTCCACATTGATTCTAGATCCCATGAACTCTTATGGCATCAGGTTATGGAAATCACCTGCAAATTTACCATCTGCTGTCCTCTCTCAGCTGATGAATTAGTTCTCCCCTATGTTACTTACCACTTGGGAGAAGCAGTGAACATAGCAAGAACGCAGAATGTGGTGTGGATGGGGTAATCTTGATGTCTGCTACCAGTAACACCATTACTGACCAAATTCCACACAGACAGTTGCTCAAGGGTGGAATCGAACCTGGGTCCTTGGTGTTGCTCTTGTTCTTGTTCCTTTTATGAGCTGGAACAGGTTCACCCTACCTATGTACTCTATTCAAATCGGTTGTGCATGTTTGGAATTCTCTACTTAGTGCTGTGGATATTCTATTATTGAATATATTAAAGACTGGGATAGAAAGAGATTTCTTCTCACAAGGAATCAAGTAATATGGGGAGCAAGTGGAAAAGTGGAATTGAAGCCCCAGGTCAGCCATGATCATACTGAGTGGCACATGGGCTCAATTGGACTACATGGTTTAGTCCTGCTCCAATTTCTTTTGTCTTGTGTTCTTATTTTTCCCAGTGCAGTGGCATTGATCTAACCATCTTCAATTGCTTCTTCACTCAACTTCTCTGCATCATAAGATTATAAGTAGAAATGTTCACTGGTGATTGTGTTCCATATGTAATTCTTCGAGATAATGGTGTCCATGTACATCAAGACATGGAAAACATGCAGACATTAACTGGTTAGTAATAAATATCATTTATATCCGGCAAACAGAAGGCAACAATTAAATTCAATAAGACAGTTTAACTACCTCCATTTGACATTTAACTGCAGTACTATTAATGAATTCCCCAACAAACTGGAATTCCACTGGCCAGGAATTGGATATTCTGTGATGACTGACTCACATTTTGACTACTCAATGTCTTTTTAGCTTAAATGGTATGAAACAGGATAATGATGTAAATCCTGCCTGGATAAGTGAAACTCCAGCAAGACTCAAGAAACTTGACATCATCCAGGACAAAACACCTTGCTTTACTGGTACCTCATTCAACACTTTCAACATTCATTAGCTCCACACAGTGCACTAGGACAGCAATGCTACATCTACATGATGCACTGTGCTAACTCTTCAAAGATTGTTCAACACATCGCCGAAAACTGCAACCACTGACACCTAGATGTAGAAGGGTGGTAGATGTATTGGAACACCACCAACTTTAAGCCACTCACATCCTGCCAATCATTCATCATTGCTGGGTCAAAAATCACAAAGATCCCCACTAGCAGCACAATGAGCCCTATTTGAAGCTAGAAGAATTCATTCCGAACGGTTTGGAAGCAGGCCCCCACAACAGAAAACAAGTGAAAGATTTACTGTGATCACACTCTGGGTGCAGATCCGTCTGCTGTTCCTGAGATGCCATGATTGAATCTCAGGCAATATGCAGTCTCAAACACTCAGTGATTGGCTGCTTTTTTTCCCCTTTATTCATTCACGGGATGAGGGCATCGATGGCTTGGCAGCATTTATTGCCCATCCCTAATTGCCCAGAGGACAGTTAAGAGTCAACCACATTGCTGCGGGTCTGGAGTCACATGTAGGCCAGACCAGGTAAAGATGGCAGCTTCCTTCCCTGAAGGACATTAGTGAGCCGGAAGGGTTTTTCTGACAATCGACAATGGATTCGCGATCATCATTAGATTGTTAATTCCATTGGCTTAAGCCAATGATTAATTAGTGACAACTTCACTGTTATAATTCAGTGTATTTTCTTAATACTAAATGGTTCAACTTGCTTAATGAGTTCAATTATTGATGAGAAGTGTGAACTGATGAGCAATTATAGTTACAATAGAGTTACTACAACAACATTTTTCACCTTCAACAACTTACAAAACTTAAGAGTGGATATTTTTTGAAAGCCAATTGGAAGTTATGAAGGATGCTTATTAAAAGGTGGCTGCAGTCTAAATACGAAATCTCATATGGAAGTGCAGTGAAAAATAATAGCATTTTTACTGATTGAGAACATATGTCTGGGGCAGAAGCCTCAAAGTATGACTTTCTTATATAGGCCAAGAGTATAAACAAGATGCAGAGATTTACCATAATTTGTGCTGGCTGCTGTGTACTTGTTGCTGGATTTGCGAATTATATTTTCATGGATTTGATACCATTCATTTTCATTATTGCACCTGTTCAAAAAAGAAGGAAAATAAGAAATGTTAGAAATCATTTCTTAGTATATGATTGGGAAGTCAAAAGTCCAATGCAACTTTTCACTCAAACACAAAAACCAACATTAACTGATTTCTCATTGTAATGTATGATGAACCTAGTAACAGTGAACTGGAGCAAGGTATTTACGGTCACATGCTCAGTCAAAAATTTAAGAGCTACAAGACGCATGAAAGATCACCTTGTTTTATTGAAAACAAATTGAAATATTATTTATATAATAAATTACATTGTTTGAGCACATAATACAGTGAATAGATTCATAGAGTTATACAACATGGAAACAGACCTTTCGATCCATGCCGGCCGTAATTCCAAACTAAACTAGTCCCACCTGCCTGCACTTGGCCCATATCCCTCCAAACATTTCTTATTCATGTACTTATCCAAATGTCTTTTAAACATTGTAACTGTATCCGCATCCACCACTTCCTCAGGAAGTTCATTCCACACACAAACCACTCGCTGTGTAAAAAAAAAAAAATTGCCCCTCATTTCTTTTTTAAAATTTTCTCTATACCACCAATTCTGGTGTCATCTGCAAACTTACTAACTATGCCTTCTATATTCTCATCTAAATCATTTTAAAATATGACAAACAAAAGTGGATCCAGCACCAAACCCTGTGAAACCACTGGTAACAGGCCTCCAGTCTGAAAAATAACCACCCACCATCATCCCAGGATGAGGCATTCCACTCCCGTACATCTCAGTTGTCCTCGTTTTTCAAGGACCGTAACTTCCCCTCCTCGGTGGTCGAGAACGCCCTCAACCGTGTCTCCCACATCTCCCGCACCTCATCCCTCACACCCCGTCCACGCAATAAAAACCAAAAAAGAATCCCCCTCGTCCTCACGTACCACCCCACCAACCTCCGGATCCAACGCATCATCCTCCGACACTTCCGCCATCTGCAATCCGACCCCACCACCAAAGACATCTTTCCCTCCCCGCCTTTATCTGCTTTCCGGAGGGACAACTCTCTCCGTGACTCCCTTGTCCGCTCCACACTCCCCTCCAGCTCCACCACACCCGGCACTTTTCCCTGCAACCGCAGGAAGTGCTACACCTGCCCCCATACCTCCTCCCTCACCCCCATCCCAGGCCCCAAGAAGACTTTCCACATCAAGCAGATGTTCACCTGCACATCTGCCAATGTGGTATACTGCATCCGGTGTGGCTTCCTCTACATCGGGGAAACCAAGCGGAGACTCGGGGACCGCTTTGCAGAACACCTACGCTCGGTTCGCAACAAACAACTGCACCTCCCAGTCGCGAACCATTTCAACTCCCCCTCCCATTCCTCAGACGACATGTCCATCCTGGGCCTCCTGCAGTGCCACAACGATGCCACCCGAAGGTTGCAGGAACAGCAACTCATATTCCGCTTGGGAACCCTGCAGCCCAATGGTATCAATGTGGATTTCACAAGTTTCAAAATCTCCCCTCCCCCCACCGCATCCCAAAACCAGTCCAACTCGTCCCTGCCTCCCTAACCTGTTCTTCCTCCCACCTATCCCCTCCTCCCACCTCAAGCCGCACCTCCATCTCCTACCGACCAACCTCATCCCGCCCCCTTGACCTGTCCGTCCTCCCTGGACTGACCTATCCCCTTCCTAACTCCCTACCTACACTCACCTTTCCTGGCTCCATCCCCGCCTCTTCGACCTGTTTGTTTCCTCTCCACCTATCCTCTCCTCTATCCCTCTTCTATCCGCCTCCCACTCTCTCCCTATTTATTTCAAAACCCCCTTCCCCTCCCCCTTTTCTGATGAAGGGTCTAGGCCCGAAACGTCAGCCTCTCTGCTCCTATGATGCTGCTTGGCCTGCTGTGTTCATCCAGCTCTGCACCTTGTTGACCCACCATCATTCTCTGTCTCCTGCCATTAACTAATTTTGTATCCAATTGGCAAGCTTAAAATGAATCCCATGTGATCTAACTTTACTAATTAGTCCACCATGCGGAACATTGTCAAAGGCTTTACTAAAGTCCAAGTAAACAATTGAAGCAAACTTCTTTTCCCCTATAATCAGATCCTCTTGTGATAAAGGCAGACATATTATTTGCTCTTCGAATTGCTTATGGCATGTGCTTGCTAGCTTTTAGTGACTTATCATCAAGAACACATAGGTTCTGTTTCGATATTAACACTTTTTTATTTCTCACAACTTTAGAAATACTCTGCACCTTTGTTCATCCTATCAAAGTGGATAACCCCACACATATGCACATTACATTTCATCTGCCATACTCTTGCCTGACTTAGCCTGTCTAAATTCCTTGAAGTCTGTTTGCATCCTCTTATTCCTACCAAGTTTTGTATCATCTGCAAGCTTGAAAATATTACAATTGGCTTTAATATTGGTATTAATCATTGATACAGATTGTGAACAGCTAAGGGCTGATCTTTGTGGTATTCATTGCTCACTACTTAAAAAAAAACTTAAAATGATCTGTTTATTGATATTCTCTACTTTCTGTCTGTTAATCCAATCCTCAATCCATGTTGCTCCCCAGTGCCATTTACTTTAATTTGCTTTACTAATCTACAGTGTGTGACTTTGTCAAAAGCCTTCTCAAAATCCAAACACACCATATCCAATAGCTCCCCCTCGTTGATTCTGTTGCTGACATCCTCAAAAAATTCTCAGGTTTGTCAAACACAATTTCCCCTTCATATATCCATATTGACTCTGTCCAATCAGATAATTATTTTCCAAATGTCCAGAAATCACATTCTTTGCATTAGATTTTTGTATTTTTCATATAACCAACATCAGGATAACAAGCATGTAGTTCCTGTTTCCTTTCTCCCTCCTCTCTGAAATAGTGGAATTACACTTGCAACCTTCTAATCTGCAGGCTGTTGCAGAATTAATAGAATTTTGAAAAGTAATCACCAATACATCCACTACCTCTGTAGCCATAAATTTCAACACTCTAGGGTAAAGGTAATTGTCTCCCAGAGAACTGTCAAGTTTCAGTTCCATTAACTTCCCAATACATTTTTTCACTAATACTTATTCCATTTACTTTCACACTATCACTGGACTTTTGGATCTTAATTATTTTAGGGTGAATTCTTGTCTTTTCCACTGTGAAGACAGGCGATCATTATAGAAATGCAAAGGAATATTGATTGTAGTTATATTTACGATTGTTCCTTATAGTTATTGAAAGCTGTGCCTGAAGTGAATGCAATCATCAGATGTTTCTATGATCTAAAAATTAGAGCTAATAAATATCTCTTTGGGAATTATAAGTCAAGTTGTCACTTCGTTTTGTTTAAGAAAGGATGTAATGTGTTGTAGACGTAGCTCAGAGGAGGTTTATTAGATTAATACCTAAAATGAGAAGGTTGATGCGAGGCTTGTAACTGTTTGAGTTCAGAAGAACATATTAAATCCTGAAAGATCTTGACAGTGCCCATGCAGACAGAATGTTTCCTCTTTTTAGGGGTCACTCATTTAAAACAGACGTGAGGCCAAATTTTTTCACTTAGAGGGCTGTCGGTGAGTTTTTCGAACTCTCAGGCTGACCATAGTGTGGACTGTTATGGATTTTCAACAGAGAAAGAGTAAAGATCGTTGAATGCTGCAGGAATGCAGCTTTGAGTGCTTGCTACTTTGTGAAGCCATATCTGGCAGACCCACTCGGTCTGCTGCGAGATATCTAATGAAGCAGATGCTGTGACAAAGGAGGTAACATCTGATGTTTTGCGCAGGGTGATGCCAGAGAATCACAGCTGGCTGCGGAGATTGAAGAGCCACCATCACAGGAATCATGCATGCTCTCCCCAATGCAGGTGCACATACCTCAACGGGTCTCAGACAACTTAGTATGCGTTGTGAGCAGAAACAGGTAATAAAGGTGTAGCAAACTGTTGGCAGTCCCCAGTGGAGAACAGAACATAGAACATAGAACATAGAACATTACAGCGCAGTACAGGCCCTTCGGCCCTCGACGTTGCGCCGACCTGTGAAACCAATCTGAAGCCCATCTAACTTAAACTATTCCATTATCATCCATATGTTTATCCAATGACCATTTAAATGCCCTTAAAGTGGGCGAGTCTACTATTTTTGCAGGCAGGGCATTCCACGCCCTTACTACTCTCTGAGTAAAGAATAGAGGAGCACTCCAGCCAAGCTGTGTCCACTGAATTGATGCAAGAACAGCACATTGGTATGAATGGATTGTACCATGCATCCTGTAACTTGACCAATCTGTTGCAGTATTGGTACATGAATAATGCACACCCAATCAGGTATTCACCTACACCTGTATGCAGGTGAACCTGAAAGGATAATATCAATAGTGCCACTGTTTTTTGAAGCCAGCCCTTCACCCTTTTAGTTGAGGCATGTAATAAGCCTCATGCTCCCCTTACACCCAATGAATAAGACTGCCCTTGCACAAATGCAGCTGGCGCAGCATATTGTGATGCCGTCCAATATAATGCAACTGTGAGGAAGGGTGTCACAGAGAGTTTAGAATTTGGGACACTATCTAGAACAATACGTCTGCACAAGCCACAAAGGGCGTAGTCGACAGTTCTTGCAAAAAGGACAGAAAAGTGACAGTAGTATCACATTAGGTCTCACATGATTGCAAATTATATTATTTTGATTAAATGAATAAAATAAATCCAATTTAAAGTAGACGAGACCAAATTAATCATGTAAGAGTCCGTTAAAAAGGGACAAAAAAGACAGAATCTCCAAAATGATTCAATTTAAATTAAAATGGCATTTTTGCAGTGTTAGAATGCACTCTAACCTCCATAGGTCTGCAGATTATAATGCTTTTGTTCAATACAAACACTTTATTGTGATTAGAAGGACTATAGTTAATACCACACATGTGGTATGTACTTTGCTTTGGAAAATTGTGATTTTATCAGTATGCCCTGTCTGTGTATAAAGTCTGAAAGTATCATGTGGTAAAGTGACATTC